GGGAAGGCCTCCCATTTGATGGAACAGTCAATAATTACAAGATATTTATTTCCCGAAGAAAAAACAGGTAACGGGCCGAGAATGTCTATTTGAACTCTTTTAAAAAGAATCCCCGAATTAAAAATTTGCAAAGGAGATTTTCCTTTGTTAGAAGAGCCTTTCTTCGCTAAACGGACCTTACAGGTTCTACATCAATTTTCCACATCTTTTTTACAAGTGGTTTAATAAAAATCACTTCCGAATCTTTTCTAAAGTTTTATTAACTCGAAAATGTCCGCACAAAGAAGCATCATGAATTTCTTTCTTGATTTGTTTCATTTTATTACGCCGAACTACTAACTGAAGGAAACTAAATTTCAGACTTACTCCCATCTCATATGAAGAACGCCGTCCTGTACTTCCAAAATATCCTAATGATGCCAGTAAATTTTTGAAGACATTCCTCTGCTATCTCTTCCTGAAGGTCGAATATACCTTTCTTTGGCCAGTAAAAATGTTGCTAGCTCTTCCATTCGAAATCTTCCATTTGTAACCTACGTCACTCCTCAAAGGAATCTTCTCGTAAAACTATTCGGATTACTATTTATTTTCCTTAAGACCCTCTCGTACTTCTACCCTAGAACAATATCTACAATTTTCACTCGCACAAGAGCATTTCGAAAATCCGTCGGCATTTCTATGAGCTAGTCTCTTTCGATGACTGACATCAAAATCATATTGCTGTAATCTTTCCGTCCAGCGAACCAATTATCCTTCCAAGTCTTTGAAGGTAATCAACCATTTTAGCGAAGTATGATCAGTACGGATAGAAAAACGTCGTCCATATAGATGAAATGATGAAAATGTTTAATGATGAAAATGTTTAATTAATTCGACTAAAGTTAATAACTCCCTCCTTGTGATACAATAATTTCGCTCTAATTTGCTCAAAACTCGACTATAATAAGCAATGACCCTTTCATTGCCATCCTGAACTTGAGAGAGCACTCCTATCCCAAAACCTGAAGCATCAGTATCCAAAATCATTTTCCCTTCCTCTTTCGGAAAAGAAAGAAGAGATGCGATCGATAATGCCTGCTTAAGAAATGCTCCCTGACATTACTTAGTCCAGATATACTTAGTCTGATTCTCTATCAATTTAAACAAAGGTCTTGCAATAGAAAAAAAACCTTTCACAAATTTTTGATAATAAGAGCAGAAACTTATCCAAGGGAACTTCGGATCTACTTCTTATTCTAAGGTACCGACCATTTCGTGACTGCTTCGGTTTTCTCGGGATCCGTTGAGATCCCTGCTGAAAAAACAATATGTTTCAGATATTTCACCTGTCTAGTAAATAAACTTTTTAGGACTAATACTAAAATTGGCAGCACGAAATCTATGAAAAACCTTTCCCAAATTTTCTTTTATCTCCTCGAAGATTTTACCAAATACAATTACATCATCTAAATAAATCAGGCAAATTTTTTAGAAA